GTCAACTGCGCACGCACAAGTCCAAGTAACTACTAACGCACCTGTTCAATCACAGCCTACTGAGGAGACCTCAGCCGTCCTGTCGGATCCAGGTAAGAGAGGGAGTGTAGAATGCTTGGCATGATGACAGTTCTCACGACCACCACGAAGACGAGGGCGCTTGAACATATAAGTTCGCTCTAAGAAGTTATTTTCAAATTTTACGCACCAGTATTTTTATCTCATGAATAACGGGCCGAGCCATTTTTCGGGCCTCAAGTTACCAACAGGTCAGAGATCTTTTTAGCACCGAAGTCATGCGTTCGTTTGCAAGCATTTTCGAGTTCCTGCAGGAGTTCGCTGACTTGTGAGAAGGGAAAAAACAACATCAGATCAGCTAGTTAAAGTTGGCCTCCTGGGAAAACTGTTAGGCTTTTTGAGAATCTAAATTTCGAGAGTAGTCGCATCCGACATTGATGTCCCTTTTTTGTTTTCATGAAGGTTGGTTGTTGGATACTTGCATATTTGTGACATATATTCTAACCCAGTGGAATCTCTAGAGTGCACAGTCGAAACCTCCTCCCCTCTTCGCCATAGCCCGAGTTACACCACCAGGAATGACTGAAATGCAGTACTCCTGAACACCTAAACGGGAAGTGTTAATATTGTTCCGTCCTTCCTGATTTCGTGCCGGTTTTGTCACCTGAATAGACGCACCCGAGGCCAGAAGACAGTCGGAATAACTCGGATATTCTTTGTGTGTGGTTCTATAGAAGTAAACACTAACATTAACAGTGCACAATAGGAAAAAAAATGCAAGGTAGAAAGCAAAAGGAGGGTGGACATACGCTCGAGGTGCTTAGACAAGCAGTCGTGTGAATGACGCAGACGCGCGGCTGCCAGTTTATAAGTGAATAAGGACGAGGGACAGGGGAACAATGAACGCGGGACGCCATCGAATGTAAAGGTAGCCAACAAGGCCAAGGAGCACAGGAAATGGGGCCTCAGTGTATGACTATGCGGGCTTAAAGACACAGCAAGAGGACTGGTAAATTGGTTTGACAAGTAGTTTTTGATAGCTCTGACCAACGACCGTTACCTGAATCTTAAAGGTCGTGGTTGTATGGCTTCGGAGAAGTGCATTATTTGCACAGACTTCCAGCTATATCCAGGCGTCAAAACCCTGGGTTGGACATTCAATGAACTAGACTGCTCCATCAAACCCTACCCTCACAACCAGCCTTCGCTTATCGACCCCATCCG